ACAAGAATGCTTCTAACTTGCATGATAAATATATAGAGGAGTCTCCGAGCCAAAAGAAAAAGCAAGACAACCCGGTTTACCTCTATAAAAACTGTTACTATGCGTCTACTTCAGCTCCAACTCCAGCAAACTTCTATTTTTTTTTTGTCGGTAAGGTTGGTCCAAATAATCGTCAGAAAGAGTTATATCATTTGATACTGTTTATAGATTTAAAGTAAATACTACTTTACTAAAGATTTTATATAATGCTAATTTTACTTTATCTTTTTTTTGCTAAAATAGATCTGTTATATAGTCTCTTATTATATTCCTACTAGAAAATTGATATCTTGAGTCAAACTTTGAAACCATAGTTCGCTACTCTTTATCTTTTACAACATTAAATAGTTGCAAGTCACAAATAATCCATCTTATAACTATATTATCTTGTTCATGTTGTTTAATTTGTAAGTGAAAATTTACAACTAAGTGCTTATGATTTTGTTTTGGTACAACTATATTATGCGTATCTTTTAGATAATGCCTTAATGTTGAAGTTGCACTTGTTGCTGAAAATGGTGTTTTGCACACTTTACAAACAGGTGATTCAGTATCTTTATCAAAGTATGGCTATACAGTTAAATTGCACTTTTTTTTAGCTAAAACCTGACTTAGGAAAGTTATATTTTGTAAGTTGTCTTGTTCATTTTGATTATATTTTTGTCATATTCATTACTAGAAAGATTCAAATTAATATCACAATATTTTTCTTGATTAGCATTTATGTTTTGAGAAGTATTTAATTTAGTAGTAAAAATAAGAATTTTGTAAATTACAAATATCAAGCAGTATAGATTTTATAATTTGATAATAATATAATAATACTGAAGAGCAATTGCAAAAGTAATATAAAAACAAAAATAATAAAATATATAATTTATTTGGTTTAATTCAAATTGAATTTTATTCAAGATGAAAATAAGATTTATATAAATTTTTGCTATTTTATGATTTTTATTTATATCTTCAATTTTATATCAGAAAAATTGTACAACATTGCTATTGAATAATTAGATCAGAAAAATTATACAATATTTGTTATATTATTTTAAAAATATAAATTATATCATATAACAGTATAATTATTAATCAAATCAGAAAAATTGCATGATTTATTTGTATAATAACCTCCTCATGTTTATCTTAACAATAAACACATATATAAATACAAAACTAATTAATTAAGGCTAAAAAGTTTCAATCTGGGAAATTAATGCTGATTATTATTAATCAGATTAAAAAAATTGTATAATTTATTTGCGTAATAATCTTATATTTATCTTAACAATAAACCAATATTCAAATACAAATCAATTAATTAAGGCTAGAAAGTTTTAATTTGCTGATCATCGTTAATCAGATCAAAAAAAATTGTATGATTTATTCACATATTAACCTTTTTGCATTACCTTAATGATTAACCTATATATAAATACAAACTAATTAATTAAGGCTAGAAAGTTTCAATCTGGGCAATCAATGCTAATTATGTAATATACAGTAGTCAAAAGCTTTACCATCATTATTATTAAACAAAAAAATTATTACTTTATTTATAGATTTAAATAAAATTTAATTATATATAACATCATTGCTAAAACACTATTTTTTACTAATTTGAATTGGTAAAAATGCTTAAAAAAGAATCACTAATATTTAAGCTACTTATATCTGGGAACTCTTTCAATTATTAAAACACAACTTAAATCTAATTTTTTGAAAAATATATATACAACATAATGAGCCTGAACTCCAGATAGAATTTAAAATTTTAAAACTTTATAATAGTTCAGTATAAAAAGTGCTATAGATCTTTAAGAAAATATAGTAATTTTCTATAACTTTCTTTTTTCTTTCAAAACCATCAGTTCATAATCAGTTATAGAAAAAATTGACTATATATAAATATAGATTAGAGCTTTGCAAAATATTTTAATAGTATGTTAACACTTGCGAAATTTCAATATAGATCAGTAAAGATGTCAAAAGGATATAGTATAATAAAGTATTAAGTTGTAAATTTCCTATATGAATGACTTGAAGACAAAATTTAATTTACTGTTAAACCTTCCAAAATTGATCCTTTTAAAATCAATAACTTGTCAAATCTGATAAAAAATTAGTCTACCAAGTCTATTTCTGTTATAAAATTTAAAAGCTTATAATTCTCTCAAATCTGATAACCTCTTAATACTAATACAAACTCTGTTTACTATACATATCAATTTGGGGAGGTTCAACAGTATATCCAAATAGTATATATACTACATCTAAAAAAAATAGCAATTAGAAAATAGCTAGATTTTGAAATTTAAAGATTAATAAAAATACATATCTTTAGTTCCTATAAATACCTGGATATATCTATTAGCACTTAAAAGCAACATTTTTACTAATATCCAAATATATTTACATTTGGCTAATGATAGAACTTGGGTTCTCTAACTATTGCATATCACTAATACCTAACTCAAAATTTTTTAAAAAAAAAATAAATTAGTAAACTGCTTAAGGAACAAAACAAAACATTTCTATAATATCCAAGCTTCTCTCGGCCAACAACTAACACATTCAAGAACTGAATTTCCTGTAATTAGCCAATTATATGTATCTCAATACCAACTCAGACTCAAATCCTCTAAAATAAAAGATGCTATAGGTTTGTAGTATAGATAACTTTTTTAATAAAATATATTATTAATAAAGTGGGAGTACTTATAATGCAAGAGATCTAAGATTTTTTAAGCTCTTCAAGAGTAAAATCAATTCTAAACTAATCTTTTTTGAAGTAGTTAAAGTTTGTGTTATACATAAATATATTACATGCTTATTTTAGAACCGGGTTTGAACCAGGACTGATAGAACTATATAATTGACATAAGGACTGTCTTAGGACCAGTCTTTTGCAAGACTGATGCATCTTTAATTTGATACTTTAACCACTATTAAAACTGCAAAATTAATTAACTTAGTACAAAAAAAAGTTTATCTTGAAGCAATTTCAGATTTAGCTTATATTAAATTTATATAGTAAATTGAGTTATGTTATATTATATTTATTATTTAGTTGACTAGAGAATCATCAATTAATTTTTTCAAAATTTTTTTTTTATATATAAATTTTATTATAAGTGTAAATACACAGTGCCTTTATTTAAAACTTTTTTTATATTAAATAAATCACTCTTTGGCTTTTAACAAAAGTTATAAAGCTTATTAAAATATATTTAATACTGCAAAGTTATTAAAATTAGTCTAGTAGTTCTTGAGAAATCTTTAAAAAACTTCTTTTTTATATATAAAATTTCTTTAAAAAAAATCAATTTTTTTTAAAGAAATTTTATATATGAAAAAGAAGTTTTTTAAAGATTTCTCAAGAACTACCAGGCCAATTTTAATATTCTTGCAGTATTAAATACATTTTAATAAGTTCTACAACTTTAGTTTTTTTTTTTAATATTTAAAGTAAAACTTTGCTTTTATCTTTATTAAACTTAATGAAAACTTTTTATATAATTGAAAAAGGTTTTAAATTTTAAGCCTAGTATTAAGAATAAGAACTCAGGCATCTAGAGAACCTAATAGATTAATCTAAATATTTATCTGCAGCCTAAACGTACCAGAGTAGCCAAAGTTTATCTAAAGTTAGAATAAATTAAAATATATAAAAGGTGTGTGCAATATTTAATCTAGTTAGTGTACCAAGATAATACTTTTAAAGAAGATATTTGAAGAGTAATATTAAATATATTAGAAGTAGAAAATATGTTACTAGAAAGTTCTAGTGTAGAAGATAATTAAAGTTGTATTGGCTAAGGTTAGAGTTTTGAACTACAATAAGAAATCTAGATATTTGAATATAATTGTTTAGGCTACTTGGTTGGATATAGTGAATTCATATATTGTATATATAATATCAAGTAAAATAAGACCAGAAAATATAGATAAGATAGAAGGTTTGTTAGAAAGATTGTATATTAGAAGACTATCAAGATTGATAATTTAGTTGTGTAACAAGTTAATTTGTAATAAGGAGATTTGAAGTTTGTTAGTGGTTATAGTTTGTTGTAAAAAATTTTTAATAAGTGTATAAAGAGAGTTAGGTGAGGAGCATATAGCCTAATATAATATAATGCTAGTTTGATGACAAATATGACAAGTATTAGAATAAAATGAGTTTCTTTTATATAATGTATAAGGTGCAGGGAGTTTATTAGTAAGAAGTTTAACTTTAAATGTTTTAAGAATAGAGAACTGAATACTATAAGCAAAGTTAGAAACTTTTTACTGTAGTTGTTGTTAAGATATAGCCAGGTTGTATCCCAGTTTATATACTAAAAAATTCATATTTATGGTTGAAAACAATTTTGAGATAACTAGAGAGCAAAAATATTTGCATAGCATATAGTTTGAATACTGTGGCGAATAGAGAGTTCAAAAAAGTAATTTTCTAGATATGAGGTATACAAAGAATTATAAATATTTTAAGTGTTGAATATAAGAAATATTATATCAAGATGATTGTGAACTAGTTTATTAGCTTTGTTATTGAATATATTATTCTGGTGTGCTTTAACTTTATAAAAAGTAATTTTTTGGTTGTAAGATTTAGTAAAATTGAGAAGTGTATTTTATATAGACCAATAAGATATATTTGAAGAGTTGGAGCTAATTGGTTGTTTTTTACAACTTTTGTTAGAAGCCAAAGAGTAATTTACTTAATATAAAAAAAGTTTTAAATAGAGACACTATACATTCGCACTTATAGTAAAATTTATATATAAAAAAAAAATTATTAAATTAGGTGACTGGAGAATCATCTATTAATAATAAAATTTTTTTTTAAAAAATTCGGCAATCTTGCCTCTATTTTATTAGATTTGGAATATTATATTACAAATTTTTGAAAAACAAGACTCTAAAATCAAGTTTTTACGATATCTAAATTACAAGTATTAGCTTACCCGGCTCTTTGTAACTGAAGTTCAAATTACCTATATGCAATCTGCTATAAACAGAATTCTTCTCCGTAATATTTACTCCTGCATTTGAAGAAAATAAAACTTTACTAAAAGGTTTCTGCTAGCCTATCAAGACTATCTATTCCTTCTTTAAAACTTTTTCTACCTAGATCTGGGCAGAATAGTTAATTTCTTATTTTTCTATAAGGGCCATGTTATTTATTACCTGATTTTTTTTTATCAGTGGCCTACCTCCCTACTTTTATATATGAAAATTGTCAGGTCTTTATATGTAATTTCTAAAATTTTTAACCCCTCCTAAAAAATTATCTGATATTTGACACTTTTCTAAGAAAAAACAAATATGCCATATTTACGAAAGAAAAAAAACTATATCTAGAAAAAGAAAGAGAAAAAAAACAGAGAAAAGAAAAAAAAAGACATAACCAAAAAAAGATAAATTCTAAACAGAATTCTAACATAATAGGAAAAAGATGAAAAAAGTAAAAAAAAAAGAATAGGGTAGTCCTGATAGATACACCTAAAGAAAGAAAAAGAAAATACACTATTATAACCTATGCCAGGTGAGTATAAAAATTATATAACAAATACAATATTTGTATATCTCTATTGTAAAGTTTCGCCTTAATATTTAATTTGTCTTTTTGACCTTCTGACTAACTCCGAATAACTATGTCATGCCCATCCTAATTCGTATCTTAAGCCAGGTGCTGCTGCTGTCTGTAGACCTGTATTTCAAGCCACCTGTTGCCATTATTAGAGTTCTGTGCTGGAGGCCCGATCCTAATGTGCCATATTTATAAAACATGTAGTTGCAATTTATTAGGTTGTCCGAATTTGAAAAGTAAACAATGTCGATCTTTTGGAGGGGGTAAGCCAAATCTTCTACTTTTTTGAAAAAATTTTGGAAGACCGATAGAGAAGTGAGAAAAAGTAAAAAGAAGAACTACTTAACCAAGTAAAAGAGTGTAGCTTGGAAAAACTAAAGTTTTGTTGTATCCTCTGTATTTTTTGTTAACAGTCAAGTAGTTTTATTGACGAAGTTGAGCTTTGCCTACACTCCACCATGATTTTATATACAAGGGCGCTACCTCTGGGTTTATTGTTACTTTGCCAGTTAACTTGTATAGTAACGCTCCTGGCTTGCATACTAAATATCTTTTAGAGGAGTCCCACAGAGTAAACATTAACCTCTAGACAAACTATTACATCAGCCATGACTCTTCAACAAAAATTTTATTTTTCTGTTAGTGGGAATTTTTGGTTTAAGTAATCATTGGAAAGAGTTGTTTTGGTTGCATTAATAATAAAATTATTAAAAAATAATTTTTTTTTTATATTAGGTATTTTTTGTAAATTTTATTGTACTATATAATTTAATTAAAATAATAGTCTATAATTTTTAAACAATTTCTCAAAAACTACTAATCTAAATTATATAAAATTTTAATATATTGTAGCCAAATATCATATATATTTGCAAAAAATATTTTATCCAATTTGGATTAGTAGTTGTTTAGAAATTTATAGCTGGAAGTTGTTAAATTTTACAATTATTTATATATTTTAAATATTATAAAAGATAAATTTTGATGCACATGTGGCTTGATGTACCATCATTGTAATTGCGTATAAAACACCGTTTCAAATCCTAATAAAAGCTTTCAGGCCAAAGAGGTCTCCTTAACACAAAAAAAAAAAAAAGATAAATTTTGATTGATTAATAACCCTATCACTAGTAGGAAGAGAGTATAATTTATATAAACTCTAATTATATGATTTATTGCACTTTTCTAAGTAAATGAGATTGGATACTCTAAATAAAAATATTTAAAATCCTGAAAATCTTACAAAAACTAAAATTAAAATTTTATATTAGTTTTAAATTATACAATTATCCTTCTTTATAATCACTCAGTTTGTTTTATACAAATATGTAATTAAAACTATAATATGCTTATATAAAGACATTTTTTAATAAAGTTATTAATAAATTAGTTAAAATTTTATGTGATTATATAGAAGTTGTAATTATATAAAGGAATAACTGTATTATATAAAAAAAATAATTCTCTAATTTCTAACTTTAACTCTAACAAAACTTAAACTAATGATGATCATTACTAGTGATATATAGTATTTTCTTATTTATATATACAAGCTTATAAAATATTTTTAACTAACTGATTTTTGTTTTTAGTATTTTTTTAAAAAATTATAAAAAAAAATTATTGATTAGCATTTATTAAATATTATTTACTGTAGAAGTTTCAAGATTGTAGCTTTTTTATTTAAAAAGCTAATAGAGTGGAGATACTATAATTGCAACTATATATAAATTTAATTTCAAATTAATAAAAACAATTTTTTAAAAAATTAATTTTTTTACTATATTAAATTAAATAGTTTGTATATATTACTCTGATTATATCAATATCTGGATATAATAATATTATAGTAAAATTTTTTTATACTACTATTTTTTATTTAATATAAAATATTAATATAATTTACTATAGCAATATAATTTACTATAGCAATATTTTAAATTTTTTTACTAATATTTTAAAAATATTAATATAACCAGAGTAATATGTATTAAATTTAATATAGCCTATAAATATCTATTGATAAAATTAAATTATTGTATAACTACAAACTAAATATAGATTTTAAATATACAAAAAAAAAGATATAGCCAAATTTTTTTAATTTTTAATAAATATTTTGTTATTTAAATTTAATTAAAATTT